CAAATATACACGATACATGTAAGTTGCGATATAAATAATTACAGAGTACCATAAGATCACAATTCATCAGCTAGGGTGATGGCCTTTTCTCCTCCTCTTCGACTCCAACGGAAGATTTTGACGTATTTACATTTTCGCCCTCGCATTTTCTAAGAGCCTCCAAAAGGCCTAAGACGATGAATATGTTGGTGAGTGTAAGAAGCGACTCGGCTCCACCGTGCAACCAGTCGACATTGGATAACGATGTTCCGTAGTGCACCTTTGCTGTTTAAAGAATCGAATTCCGAGTAGATATAAATAAGTTTGTTTACGTAAGAAGTAAAAACTGTCGTACAAATAGAAAAGTTACCGTAAATTCCTGCCGGTACTGCAATGATGGAGGCAATGCAGCATAGACAGATAAAGAAAGATAACGAAAGAGTTAGTATTATAGGATTAATGTTATGCTATGCCGATTAACGTTTGATAAGACGCGGAAAAACCGAACAGTAACACGACGAGTACGTGATTATGTTTAATCACATACCTAACTATGGACATCCTTAATTTTAAAGAGGAAGATAAACCAAATGACCAGTGGCGGAGGGGGCCATGGCCCCCCCACGACATTTCTCAAATCCCTATTATTTTATGTAGAAATATATTAAACAAAATCGTGTATAATAGCATCAATGGCCCTCCTAGAAATTCTTTTAATGCATTCGCCCCCGACCCCGGGCTTAAAATCATGGCTCCGCTAGTGCAAATGACCACTTCATTCACCCAATTAAATTAAAACAAATTCCACCCCATAAATCTTCAACACATCCAATTAAATTAAAATAAGCAAATTGAATCAAGAGAACAACACACACACACACACACACACACACACACACACACTGACACACACACAGAGAGAGAGAGAGAGCAACATACTTGTGGCACCGACAAAGGCGAGCAAGAAGTAAAATCCGAAGAGGGTGAGTTTGGGGGCGGAATTCGATTTGGTGAGAAAATACAAGAAACCCATATAAGGAAAGAGAGAGAATGCAAAAAGCTGGGATGCAATGCTCTGTGAATCAATGGTGGGCGACCATGGATCCACAGGGAATACAAACCCATTACAGACAAACCCTTTCCCATTTCTTCTACTGATTATTATTCTTCTTCTCCCATTACCTTCAAATTTCAGACGAATTGTTTCTCTGCTACAGCTCGAATAATTCGTCTGAAAAAAATGATCTTTACACGCGAGTGAAGAAACGTTGGGTAGATGCAGATGGGTCCTCAGCCATGGTTGAATTTGGACAAAGCTCGTCATCTTTTTTCACTTCTTTTCAGTTGTTTCTCTACATTACAGAGATGTGTTGAGCATTTAATTATTAATTATTAAATAAATAAATATATAAATGTTCATATCCATTCAAATTGAATGTGGAGCGTTACTTTTATTGGGCTTTTTTACCAGTGGGTTATAGGCCTTGTCTACGGGTTATAGGAAAATTATTAGCCCATAAGATAAAATCGGACCGAGTTTGGTCGGGACAAGCTACTGGGTCACAGTTAGTTCTAGGGCTGGAAAATAATCATCGCCTACCGAATACCACGGTATACTTATCAATCAATACCGAAAAATTACCGAAACTTCGGTAACCATTACATTTGGTACGGTATTAGTACCGTACCACTATTATACGGTACAGTAACGGTATTGTATTTCAGTACCATGGTAATACCTTTCCCTACCGCAAATTTGAATTTTATAAATTAATTAAATATATATTTATTTTATATTGGTTAATTAACTAAAATTAAAATTACTACATAAAATAAAAAGGTCAAAACTCAAAAAAGTTAAAATACAGTTCTTAAAAATTTATGAGACAATATTGAAGTTTAGTGCAACAAAAAAACGTACATCCCATTTGGTTTTCACTAAAATAGTAGGGCTGCAAATTGAGATCGAAAAAAAATTATGACTCTAGTAATCTTATTTTGCAAGGTTTGACTAAATCAATGAAGTTATAGTTTGATAAATATTGAAGGAGTTTTGAAAAATTGAATAAGAACATATAAATAGCCATTTTTCTTGTTTAAAGTGTTGTGTTTTTATAAAGATCGTCTTCAAAGTATAACAAATTAAAATTAACGGTAAGTACCATGTACCGATATACCGTATCGAAAGTAACGATATACCGAATATCGGTATACGCACTTATTGGTACGGTAACGGTATCGAATTTTTCAATACCATATAATTCGGTAGGTACACGGTATTTATCAAAATATTCGGCAACCGTACCGAAACCACCCCTAGTTAGTTCGGTTAAACCATTTTTTTTTAATTATTTAGAATCATTTGTATTGAATTTTTATTGTAAATAAAACATATTTTCTTCCACAAACATTAATTAATTACTCATTTCCAATTGAAACGTAGATCAAACCTACTTTTATTTGACACACACAACATATCAACACACTCATCGTGTTCCAATTTCAAAGTTTTTTATTTTGAATTAATTTTTTGTTCTTTTCAAATGGGCAGTAAAATGACGTCGTTTTAGCCATGTTAGTTTAATTCAAAAAATGCACATTTTTAGGTGAAAAAAAAAACCATTTTCACTAAGGTTCCCACATTACGACGTGACACGATTCTTTTATACTCGTCGAACTTTCAAGTGTATAACGGACAATACAATTTACTTGAATTAAAAAAAAAAATACTTATCATATGTTAAATTGGGATTTAAGTTGTAGGTGACAAAACAGCTTGCTCTTGCCAAACCCCATTTAAGTTAGATTGCCACAGCCTCACTAATCCATCCCCTCCTGTCGTAGCCAATGTCATTCCACTCATATCCCATTCCATCTCCCACACCTATTAACCGAACAATCTCGTTAAATAAATATATATATCTTTTCATACTTGCGATAAAATGTATATATATAAGGTTTCGGATTTTGGGTGATTTAAATATTAGATTACAAAAAGGGGGGGTGTTGAAATACCTCACTATCATGACCAGATAGCAATGCAACCATGTGCGCTGAAAGCCGACCATCTGGGTCGGGATTTGATCCTAGGTGCCAGATGGATATTCCCTTTTCAGTTGCAACAGCTATCAGTTCATACGGCCTGAAGGAAAAAAATATCCAATAATTTATAAAATCGTTGCAAAAGCAATTCATCTTCTTGATGTTTACTTCTCTCGGGTGCGCGAATCTTTTTTTTTTTAGAAGCACGGAGGCTTCACAGTCGTGAATTCAAAAAGCAATAGAAAGAGACACGAGGGAGAATGAAATATATGTCGATACCTTCCTATGTTTGGTGCCCAAGCAACTGCGTAAATCTGGTCATTATTATCCTCGGGCAAAGAAAGTTCTGCAACGGGAAGCCATCTCTGATGATCAAGATCAAACTCCCAAACCTGTTCAAAAATAAAGTATTGTTAAATCCCAAATGTGCATTCGGAGATTTACGATCAAAGAAGCGAACTAGATTTCAATTGGTAATACAACAGCTGTCACCGTTGAAAAATAACAGATGCCTAGTACCTTGGGAGAATTTAGTGGTGAAGTATTTGAACTAAAGCCCAAAACAAAGCTTAATTGCTGGTGTTCACTTCTTTGTGGGTTCCACGAGATGGATGCAGACTGGCAGGAAACATTCCCAAACTTGGACACTAAATCAATCACATTCTGAAATTCAGCCTGCAAAAATAGAAATGCCGAATTAGATAAATTACCGAAAAATAAATAACATTTATAAGTTATACATAGATGAGAAGATACATGCTTATAGTATAGTAGTTGGAAAAAAAATTAGGAGATTAATTTTGTAAGATTGACAAACAAAATGTTGGGTTCTTAATACTCTAAAAAACTTAAAGAGATCATAACTTAATTCTAAGGCTTCGCAGATTCCTTTAGTTTGACCACGTAAACTATAAAATTGCAAACCCCATCTTATAAGCTCCATTTTCTTATTTCACCAAAACATAAATTCCAGAATCATCTTATAAATTGTAGAAAACAGTATAGATATGATCTAGTCCCCAAAACGTTTATGTGATTGACATGTATAGTTAAATAAAATGGAATGTTGCCAGCAAAACAATACTTTATGTGATATAAAATTCAGATAGTGACAAATTGAACACCTGAAGTTGCCATTTCTCCAGTTCAAGCGTATCTAGCAGCTCGTAGATTTTTATTTGTCCATCTGAATATGCAGCAACCTGTAGATGAAATAATCACCAAAATGTATTATGCTTAGCTAATCACAGCATTTCAGGATAATGCAATAAATGCATTACTTGTCAAATTTATAAGAGGTCATTTACTGATAGCTACTTACTAGAATAGTACAGAAATTTTTCACTTGCAACCATTGAGTGATAATGGAAACACAACCAAGCAGACAAGCAAGAAATCTCTTTAAGATAAACACAGAAAGGCAGACAAAGATTTGTTCCTCACCATTGCTATGCGTTGGAAATATTTTATTTATTGTCAATTTAAAGATTTATGCCCACTTAAACATAAAAAGGAAAAGGCGTAAATAAATATAGTCAGACCACAGCAAAAACACCATTCTTTCTGTTTCTGTAAGATCGTTTAATTCATGATTTTATGTACCTCATTGTTGACTTGCAGAACTTACTCAGGCACTACAAGGTGTTGCAATACAAGGTTCAATTTAGGAAGATTATATCAGGTAACATCATAACTCCCAGATGCTCCCCTTCTTTTCTTCCAGACATCTAGCTTAACAAATAACATTCCGTTGTTCCTTCCACAAATATAACATGGGTGTTTATCAAATTAAGTTGCGTTGGTATTCATTTTTCACAATTTTGAGATATTTTACCCTCTTGCCAATACTATTGCATTGATTCCAGAAAATGGCCTACGTAGCTTTTCAAAATTGAATGTACTATTTGCAATTCAACCTTTTGTCAAAAGATAGAAATTTCCAGCACAAGTTAGTCTAGTATTTCTCTTAATCTCTGCTTTTACATGATTTCCAAGGAAGGAAAGTTATTGACTCTGTCATAAAGAAATGAACAGAAGTACACAAATTATAAACTATAATCAGTTGCACCGAGATTGCCAGTTCTATCGAAGCAAGTAATAAGAAGACTAACCAATTTCAGACAAGTCTGACTGCCTCCAAATTGAATATCTAGAACTTGACTTGTGTTCCTATCGAACGACTTGCACATCTTCCAGTGATGCCCCTCAGTATCTAGAGCATAACAAAACAAATTACAATATTTAGCCCCGTAGAAACACAAACATGCTACCCAAAGATCCGAAACAGGATAACACGAGTAATAGAAATCAAAATCCAACTTCGAGAAACAGTGACTACAGTCGAGAATTTCAACGATCACTAGCAACAAAAATCTGGATTCCGTCAAAGATAAGCGAGAAACAACAAAATTCGCCGAATTAGAGATTTATTCATTCGCAAGTTCACTCAATTCCTTTAATTATTTTTCGATTTCAGGGCAAAATTAGTGTAAAAAAACACTAACTGAAAATCCACTAACAACCTTCTTTGATGACCTCCTCCCACAACGACAAAGCTCCATCAGCACTAACACAAGCAACCGCATCTCCGTATTGCGGTGGAACCCACACAATTTTCAAAATGCCGCTCTCCTGGACCTAAATCGTACAAACACCACATCACACTTACACCCATCAGAAATAACAGTAATTCCTCAGATGCTACATTACATGAAATAAGCTCATATATTTTTTTCCAAAATCCACATTGCGCCGGGATTATAACTAGAAAGGCGAAATGCAAAACCTTAACTAATAACCCTAATCTAGAGAGAGAAAGTGATTAGCGGACCTTAAATCTGGAAGTACAATTGAAGGTTGAAGAAGATGGATCCGTAGAATCGTAAATGGCCAATGAACCATCAGCAAGTCCTGCAGCCAATCTCTGGCCACTGTAATTCCAAGCTGTGCATCTCGTTCCTTTGTCGAGTTTCAGAATTGGCTTATCCATCTCTGTGTTTACCTAGCTAGCTATCGGCAGGTTTAATACATACATATGCTTTTGTATATATCGATCGATGCTTGGTTCTCATGGAGACGAGCACACCATCACTGGAGTGTACTGTATTTCTAAAACCCTAATTCAATATGGGGTTTCTATTGAATTGCTTAGGCGGTAATATGAATTTGTTCGGGTATGGGCTTCTGGATAGTTTAACCCGGCCCGCTTATGATCACGGGCCTTGTGAACAAATGAAAACTTATGCCAACGTCTAGCAAAATTATATTTCAATGAAGCCCAAATAATAGTATGATTACAAACGGTGTAAATGAGTTGACTCGACTCAACAAAAATTTTGTGAGTTCAAGCTCGATAAATACGAGCTCGAGCTCAAACTCATTGATTAGACGAGTTTTGACCTCAATTTTATTAATTCACAAGCCTCATGAGCCGACTTATGATTTTGTTTCCCCTAATTTTAAGCATATACATATAATTAAAATATGGGAAAATTGCACATCACCTCCTTTAAATTTCTATTTTTTGCACTTTACCCTCTCACAATTTTTAAAAGTGAATGTCCCCCTTCAAAATGTTATTTTTGTTGCACATTGCCCCGATAGCAAAACTCCGATGGATTATTCATAGGACTTGAGCATTTTATTGCACTTCGCCCTTAAAATGTTATTTTTGTTACACGTTATCCCTTAAAAATACTATTTTTTTCACGTTGCACCTTTAAAATGTTAATTTTGTTGCACAATGCCCTCCAAAAATTAGCTTCTGGGACAAAGTGCAACTAAAATAATATTTCAAAGGGGGAGGAGTATCTTTTTTTGAATTTTTGGAGGGGAAAATGCATAAGTGAGAATTTTATATGGGGTAAGTGCATTTTGTCCTTAAAATATTATTATTAATAATAAATATTATTTGTGTGTGTATACATTAGGATATAAAGATAGAAGTTAAGCTACAAATATAATAGAATAGAAAATATATTGAAATTATAATCAATGATTCAATATACAACAAGTAGATTTTCTTGCATGCATTGTTATTACCAAATACTAAATACTACTAAGGATGCTCCATCCATTTTTTAGCCACGTTGGCAAGAGTTTGAGTGGAAGATCCATCTTGGCTCAATGCTCTAGTTGCACCTTCCTTAAGATTCCACATTCTCTTCCTCAACACTTCCCCTTCTTCTCCTTCAATCAAATCCCTCGCTAGTCTCGATATCTGCTCGCGACCCACAATTCCGTTTTCGCCCTCCGTAACCCTAATCGCCACCTTCAAACCCTCGGACAGCAGAACGGCGTTCATCTTCTGCTCGGCGTACAACGGCCAAGCAATGAGAGGGACGCCGTTGACTATGCTCTCCAGAGTCGAATTCCACCCACAGTGCGTCAGGAATCCACCCACCGCCACGTGGGCCAAAATCTCAACTTGTGGGGCCCACTTCGACGGCAAGACAAAACCCTTCTCTTTATTATTATTATTATTAGTCGTCCACTCGGTCAATTCGGCACATTGATCATATTCGTCGTCGTGGTGGCTTGATCGGGTCCGACAATCGCGTGGGGTTTTCGCTACTAGTAGAAATCTTTGCTCGCTCATTCGCAAACCCGAAACCAATTCGTTCAATTGATCTCTCGATAAAGTTCCCTCGCTTCCAAACGAGACGTATAAAACCGAACAGAGCGGTTGCTTATCCAACCACTCCAAACATTTCAACCCGTCTTTGATATTTTTCGAACCGGGTCGGATCAACGGTCCAATCGGGTAAATCGGCGGCATCCGATTATTCTGATCTAATGCATTGAAAGTATCCGGTTCGAGGTCAAAGAAGGAGTTGACCAAGATTCCGTCAGCTAATCTGTATTTCCTGCACATTTCAACACAGCCTTTGTAGGCGTCGGTTTTCCTGTCTTGGGTCGGATCCATGAAGTCCGACCCGCGAACCGGTACCAGACCGGGTAGCTTCAGCGGTTCGGGTAAGTCTCTGTACTGGTCGCAAGTGGACGATTCGTGTAGCTCCGGCAAGTGCAGACTGAAAGACAGAGTCATCGCGGTGGAGGTGAAGAAAAGATACGCCGGAATATCCAGTTCCTTGGCCACGTCTAATGTGAATATGCCGAAGAGATCGGCGACGAAGGCGGAGATCCGGCGAGTGGGTATCGACTCTTTCAGATCGGTCAGTGCTTTGCGGAGGGATGGACCGGATCGGATTGTGGAGAGCACGACCCGGGATTCGGCGGTGATGTCGCCGGCGATATCTGGCGGCGGAGGAAGGAGAATTGAGTTTGTAGGGTTTGGTAGGGTTTGGAGAAGGGTTTGTAGTTGGGTTTTGGTGGATGAAACGCCGTCGTCGAGGATGATGAAAGTGACGGAGAAACTGTGGAGGTGGACGAGTTTCCGGGCTAACTCGGTGAGTGGAATCAGGTGACCCATTCCTGGTGTGAGCAGCATAGCTATGTGAGCTTGCTGTGGAGCTTCCATGGCGGATTTCTGATGAGAGAATATTGTGAGATACAAAAAGTTGTATTTATTTAATTTTATTGCACAGCAACTCCAATAAAAAAAAAAATTGGAGGAAACTGTTCAAAAAAAATTTGTGGAGGGACCTAACACTAATTAGCCACAAAATTTGTAAAAAGAAATTTGTTTTTTTTTTTCTCTTCCTATTTTTAGGGGTGAAGTGTACAAAACATCTAGAAGGCCCTTATTATTATGGGAGTGTGAAACTGTCATTTCATCTAGAAGGTTCGCAAAAAGGATAGAGTTGAGTGCGTGCAAGCTTTGACACACTTGCTAAGTTAATCTAATATTACCATATTTTGTTATTTTTACTTTATTTTGGGAAAATATCGTAATTTTCACTTCTTAATACATGGTTACAAAGTAGTTGTAATTATCCAAACATAAGAGGCTATTTTATAATTTAACCTTATCTCAAAGGGTGACCGTAATTTACCCAAAATAAATAGATGTTTGCTTACGAAGTTCTTGTCCTGAATTTCAGGAAGTTGAATAATCTCATACATGCTATGATGATGGTTTGTGATCAAATATTTAAATTCCAATTTGTTTTGTGGCCAAATGTTAATTTCAAACAAAAGTGGATGGTGTTTGGAATAAATGAAATTAAGGGATTTTGTTCCCTTCCAGTTTCTTACAATAAATCATGCATGGAGATGGGAGTGACGAAATACTGAAACTGCCCGAATTTCTCTCGAACCACCCGTTTATTTGAACCTACATCTCGTAAATTTTACCACGTATAATCTCAATTACCCATTTTTTACACACATTCACATGTATATGTGTGTGGGCGTGTGTAGATCGATGATATAAAACTACGCGGTGTAGAATCTACGGTATTTAATTATACATTGAAAAAAGAATTTTCGATTCTCGTCACATTGCAAATTTCTCTATACATCATTAGCATGCATATAACATAACAAGATGTTACACAAATGTGTTGCACATAATTCGGGATGCTAAACACTCGATCAACATACGATAGTTATCTTACCTCAATCAACCATCTCTGCATATTTTCTCGAGATTGCTTCTGCAAAGTACTAACGAACTTTACAAGTGTAAAAAAAGACAAAAATGCCCCCACTTCGAGAAGCTTCGTTCATTCACTCAATCAACCACATCACTGCTAAAAAGCTTGAACTCTTTAGCATCTTGAACCAGCTTCCTAATTGACGAAAATGCCCCCAAGATACCGACACACGTGAACACGACTATTATCGAGTTGTTGACCCAATATGCGAGTGAAGACTTTTTGGGCTTATGTGTTATGTTATAAAGAAGCATCGGAAGTACAAAATCGAGAGGGATAAATCCAATAGCTCCCACAACGGCACTTATATCTCCAAAGAAAGGCAGCATCGCAGCAAAGAACCCACAAACAATCACGTATAACGAGCGGAGAATTATCCTCGGAATCAAGTTTCTCTTGGAGAATATTCCCTTGCTTGCATCAGCCGATTTCCTCTCCATTATCTCGTAGGCCACTTGAGAATAGACCTAGTAGTTTAACACGGCCGAGATTTAATTTTTTGAATAATGAATTAAGAATATATGGAAATTATTATATATATATATATATATATATATATATATATATATATATATATATGATGTTTCTTACTAGGCCAATGGCGAAGAGTTGGAGGAGAACGAATACAATTGCGGGGCCCACAAGCCATACGGGGGCCAAGGGGGGGCCCTCGTCGGGCATTAAGCTATTGAGAATATTCGAATTGGATTTATTACCAAAAACCCAATATCCGGAAACTGCAGCGGAGTAGAAAGTCAAGAAAATTACTGCGTAACACATTATAAGGCCTTTCACCATCTTTCCGGCAGCTGGTGGAGCAAGTGTCGCCTACGTTGGTCGAGAAGGAAATATTACACTATTGTCCTTGTTCTTTGTCGAGAAAAAAAAACTTTGGTTTTTACGGAAATTTAAATATACCTGTATTTCGGGTAGTATACCATTCCCGTAAATCGAAGCTATTATAGATATGGAAGTGAATGCGCTGAATACCCTCGACGAAGCTGCAGATTCTAAAGAATAGTCCCTTGGTGGTGCATTTTTTGAGGCGCCTGTGTATCGCACGGCAAATAGTAAAGTTCGCAATAACGACGCATATGCAATAAAATAATTACACGATTCATATATCAAGATTCCATCTTTCTTTTCACTTAATAGGGCGAAATTTCAAGAAACGGGACTAAGTATACCTGCATTAATGCAAGCGGCGACCACGATAAAAGTGTAGGCCAAGCTGAGAACCAGCGACCCCAAATTAATGTGCCTGAGGGAATGGAAGCTCGGAAATTGAGACAAAAGTATCATAATTACTGTCACCATTGCTATGAAGTGATATAGTTTCAGCGCTCCGTTTTCGAACAGGTTAGAATACATGATCTGTACTGCCCACAAAGACAAAAAGAAATAAATAAATAAATAACATCAGAATGAACGGAATAAAAGTGAAAACGGGGTTGCCCCGACAGAAAATAAAAAAAAAAAAAAAAAAAAAAAAAAAAAGCAGCAAAATAGAGATGCCAATATTGCTATACCTGGAGGCATTGCCCTGCAAGCAGAATAGCTCCGATACTGATGCCGGTATTTATTGCCGTTTGAATGAATATCACAAAATAGAACATCCATCCAGAACCTATTACAAGTCAATGCATAAAGTCAACTCAAAATTCAGTTTACATGAAAAAAAAGTACGAGTTGAAAGGGGTCTATTAATCGGAAAATCTGCTGTAGCGATTTACAGGTAGCTAGTATAAAAGATCCATACATCCTATTCATACCAATTGTGTGCTCCGACGCGATATTAAAACACCGAAAAAACATTATCCGTGACAACACATTGCATGGAAAAATCATCTGAACCACTAAGGCCTCGTTTGGTTGCCAAGATAAGATTAGCCAAGATAAGATTAAATAATGTAATGAAACCCAATTATTTTATCGGACCTCTCGACGTCCAACAAAAAGAAAAGTACCCTAAAAGGCAAGATAAGCCATGATAACATAATTTTCGCGGGTCGACCCGGCAATTTATTGAGGATACCAAACATCAAGTTGAGTCCAACTATTTAGTTAATCATGGCTTATCTTGGCAACCAAACGGGGCCTAATACTACACAATAATATGGTTTTCGTTTTCTAATTATCAGTGACCTAATCCCTCTCTCTCTCTCTCTCTCTCTCTCTCTCTCTCTCTCTCTCTCTCTCTCTCTCTCTCTCTCTCTCTCTCTCTCTCTCTCTCTCTCTCTCTCTCTCTCTCTCTCTCTCTCTCTCTCTCTCTCTCTCTCTCTCTCTCTAACGCATCGAAAAGTACGAACAGTTGTCGAGATGGATGTGAATGCAAGTTGCGGAAGAGCCATTTCTTTCATTAAACTAAAGCAAAACAAAGTCAAAAACACATAAAAATTACTCACTTCTAACAAAAACAGTGACAGAAAAACTGCAACCTCATTAACAAAGACTAGAAAACATAACATCATTAATTAATGCCTGAAAATTAGGTAATTAGTAATAAACTATATATTATGAGAGAAGAAAAACCCCTACCCAATACGTCGGCAGCGAGTTCACGGAATCGTATGTGGCGGCGTCCAGCCTTCTCGCAGTGGTCCAGCACCAAAGACATGAGATAGTAAGAGTAGAAGGTCACAACCCCCATAGCCGTTAAGCAGAGAAACCCTACCCACCACCCCAGCCCCCGGAAAGCGTACGGCAGCGTCAGTATTGTGGGCCCCACAATCGCCGTCGTCAAATGAAACCCCGCATGGTACCATTTCCCTGCACACACAGTCACACACACACGAATTCGAATTTTTTTAATGGATCTAGGTTAAAATTGGGGTTTCGATTTTAGGGGCGGAGGAGGGAAGAAAAAAGAATAAAAATTGAACCTTTACCTTTGGATTCGAGGACAAAAGCTGCGCCGGCGTCCTCTTCGCGGTTGATTTCGTGGAAGGGGCTGTTTGGGGCGGCAGCCACCTCCGCCATTGATTCTTCTTCTGTCAGCGCAGAAACATTTGTCAGATTAATGCAGAGATGAAAACGAAGAAAAATGAAAGATATGGCGTGAAGGAAGAGGATTTGCCGCCAAATTATACGTGCGGGAAACAAAGATTGCTGTAAATGTGCATGAAATTTATATTTTCTTTTTTTTACCGTTTAGCTTTTTGTTTATGATCTTTCTCGTACCATTCAAGATTGGAAAGAACAAATGCAATTACAGGCTGTCAAGATTAAATATACAGTATACCTAATTTTTTTTAATTTTTTTATTAATGTAAATATATAATAAAATATTAGTCAAATGTAATTTTTTACAGATGATACTAATTATGATGGAATTCTTTATAACTTTGACTTTGGATATAACCGGAATAATCTGATTTAGTCTACATAATGTGTTTAATATAAGTTTAAATGGTAAGTTAAGGTGACCGCATAAGGTAAAATCAAATTAAAAAAAAAAAATCATATTTAAATAATAACTATAATTATCACCTGTAAATTTTCGTATACGTTCATTCTTATAGTATTAAATTCTATAGAGTCCTCTAGATTTCGTGATATGTTCTCTAATCTGTACTCGTGTTGTGTAAAAATGCAATTTCAATGCACCACAATCAATCTGATATTATATTATCATCTTGTTTAAAAACGTGGAGCTCGAATGAGAGGAAACGAGTACAAACTGAAGAATATTTCACATAATCTAAAAGATTTCACTAATTTTGGCATTACAAAGATGCGCGTGTAAGAAGATTCATAATTTGACTTTACCTCAGACTGGCGTAATTTACTCAAGTTTATAAATTGCATTGACACTACAACAATTTTCAATAATAATGAAAACTAAAAAGAACAAGTAAATCAAAATCATGCACAATGTAACATTATAAATGTTTATCCAACATCAATGTTGGCACCACTACATGTTAATTAATTAATTATGTCGTTTTTAACTATGCTTAATGCGAGTCTTTTTTCTATATAGTGCTGGCCACATTGCACAAAGTGTTGGCCTTAATAATAAATAATTAAACGTGGCAAATGAACTCCCATTTGCCCACTTGGTTTCGACACGTAAGCAATTTTTCTATTTTTCATATTCTCTATAGATAGACAAGTGTATGAACACTAAAATAAAAATTGAATTTTTGTGCTAAAGGATCAAAAAAAATAAAGTGATTTTATTTTGGAATTTTGTTTTCTTTAAAACTTCTCACTCAATCCAAATTACTCAGTGGAAGTGCAGAAAAGGAAGGGATGTAAAAAACATCATTACTATTTTTTTTCAGTGCGTCATTTAAGCAAACAGCTTGTACGCACTAATGGCGGAAGCTATATTTCGTCTGATTTTCATCATTTTCAATTAATTTTCCTCAAATCTAGCTTACCTAATTTTCTTCATTTTCCGCATGAATTATATGAAATTACAGACAAGATTATTACACAAAATAAATAGGGACTTGCTGCGATTCGAAATTACCTCATCAGGAAAAAGAAATTGAAGTATAATATAATTAATTACCTGGTAGAACAAGGGCTAATTCCTCTTGGTTTGGCATTTCTTCCACTTCCCTTCTTCCACAAAAACACTACGAATCAGAATAAATCCACTGTTTTTTTTAGAGAGAGAAAATTGAAGAAAGGGGTTCAAATTTAATGGAAGTGGTGATGAGAGAGAAAAAAGAACAGAGGGCGTCAAAGTTTGACCCTTCAACACCTCCTTTTTGAGATGTATTTTATGCTACACAATTTGTAATTTTTTAAAGATTTTATATTAAAACATTGAATAAGTGCAGAACAGAAACAACAAAGAGATGAGAAGTGAATTTCAATTTGCATTTCAAATATCTAAAGAAAATCAGCATTAGTAGCTACTCTCGATTAAGTCCAACTGCAACCCTAAATCAGACAATTGAAAAAAAAAAAAAAAAAAAAAAAAAAAAAAAAACCCAAATCTACTACATGTTCAACATGATCCCAGTTGAACAATTGTTCAGAAAATCACTTGATATATCTAATTAATTGTCCTTGTTCATAAGGGCTGCAGCTGCTTCTTCTTCTGCAACAACTTTCTTGTTGTACTCTTCCAATTCTTTCTTGTACACCTCCATTGCTTCTGCAGCTTTACTATTCCAAACTTGTTTATCTTCTTCACTCATTTCCTTCCACTTTAGCGAAATCAGAGCACTGACGGTCGAATTGTTCGTCCCGGGTCGCTCTTCCGCTAAATTCTTCCTCGTCTCTTTGCTGTTTTTTATAAACATAGATCAATTAATCCTTGATTTGATCAATGTACTTAACACATTCTGTATATAAAAATTCAATCTTTAATCAAAACAAACCTGAAAATAAGGAATGAAGAAGCAGGTTTCTTTGGTTTGTTGGGATCAGTTATCTTCTTTTCCTTCTTCTGCTTTTGTAGGGTCTCTTTGGTTTTCTGCATTTTTTAAGACACTAAATTACAATTCTTGAAATCTTGAAAGAAAATATCATTAAAAAGAAAAGGGTTAGAGATTTTCGGACAACCTTAATCATGGTTTCTGTTTTTTCCTTCTTTTTGAGCAACTGCATAGCTTCTTGCTTCTGAAGTTTCATTAGCTCCTCCTCTTCTTTCTTCATGTCTGCGGTTTCTTCGTCTTTCTTCTGCTTGTACGCTTCCATTTCTCTCGCGTACTGCTCTTTGTTTTTCATTGCCCTCTGTACAATTCAAGCAAAATTTCCCATATTCAGAAACCAACATTCATTTGTTATAATAAACAATGAAATTGCAGACGACAGACACTACAAAGGAATCAAAAACCGACCTTTTCGTACGGCGATTTTTGTTTGTCCGTCATGTTCTTCCACTCCTCGCCTGTGATTTTCGCAATCTTTTTTCACAAAATAAAACCCAAATTAAGCCCCAAACTGTTGTGATTTAGTCCCAATTTTGGAAATCGGTAAGCATAATATTATGTTCTAATCTTACCTCAACAACATTCTTGTTCTCCGCAACAAGTGCAGCTCTTCGCTCGTTCGAGAAAATGAAATAGGCCGACATTGGTTGCTTCGGTTTCAAGGGATCTTTCTCCTTCCTATAACATATATATAACCCAATAAGAAACACAAATATGCGTAGTAATCGAAGAACATAACTAATTCAACTGAATTATTACTTTGCTTTCTTGGTATCCTTCTTGTCTGCCTCCTGTAAGAACTGCAGATACTGTTCGAGCAACTCCATAGCAGTCTTCTGCTTGTGCTCATCCTCAAATAGCCTCATTGCTTCGTGCTCGCGCTTCTCGTTTCCAACGATTTTCAAATAGGCTTCTTTCTCAGCTTGGTATTTCTCTTCATATGGCTTTTTTTCTTCTGCAGTGACTGTTTTCCATTTTGTTGCTATCAAATTCGACATCTCCTTGAAATCGGCATCAGGATTCGCTTTCTTCACCTAATAAAACATCAGAACCCCAACGAAAACACAGATCAGCCAAACATGGTCAAGAGATTTTTATTTATTTATTCTAATGAAACTATATATATCTATATATGTATATATATATATCATATATATATATATACCTCATTCCACTGGTCTTTGCACCACAATACATATGGAGGGGATGGCTTTTTAGTGGAATTCTTCTTTTTGTCTTTCTTATCTTGCTCTTGGTCTTTCACCGAGAGACCAAATGGAAATGTCTGTATAATAAAAATATTTATTCACCATTAAAATAACATATACGAGTTTCAGATTTGCCCTAAAAAACCATATATCAGTTAATTAGGCTATTAAACTTCACACACAGATATGAAAGGGGTCTAGGGCACAAACAAAAATTAATTATTTTGCGCAAAAAAATAATTAAAAATTGATTTATGAAAAATTGAAGGAGAACTAACCACTGTGGGTTTGAATTCCTTCATCTTCTGCAATTTCTTGAGTTCGATTTTGAGTTTCTCCTGTTCGCGGTCCCGAGTCTCGATTTCTTCCTCCTTCTGCTTTAGGGTTTCCTCTCTGGCCTTCAACGCCTCCTCCGTCTGCTCCTTCTCGATCTTCAATTTCTCGAGCTGCTCTTGCATTTCCTGCAATTCCTTCTCGAAGGAAGATACCTCGGGGGCCTGTTGCTGCTGCTTCTTCCCCTTCGCAGCACCTTTTTTAGTTTTCTTCGACAGGCTCTCGTGATTCTCCTTTCCAGCGATGGCTTCCGGCAGTAGGGCGGCGGCGGCGGGGGAGGATTCGGCTAGGGTTTCGGCCACTATGTTGGCCTCGTTCGTCGATGCGGTTTTCTGCTTCAGTGCTTTTCTGGATCTCGCCTTTTTCGTTGGTGCTGGGTCGGCTACATTGGGCATTTCAGCGATGGCGGCCATTTTTCCCCCCTTTTCTTTTTATCTGATTCAGAGAGAGATTTTAATTAATTTGATTTTTTGAAATTGTGATTTGAGAAGAGGAGGAGAGGAATCTATATATAGTGGGAGGCGGGCTAACGGTCGGATATTTTTAAATTTTGAATTCATTTTTCGAATAGTGCTTTGGTTTTACCGTTGGGGAAAAATTAAAATTAATTGCTTTACTAGAATTGATAGAATTTCATTTATGGAAAAAAAGAAATTAAATAATTATTGTTTGATCCTCTTGCAAAATTAACAAATAACAATCAACACCCATAAAATTAACAAATAACAATCAACACCAAAAGGTCCAAAACTTACAGTTTTATAAATGTGTGTGATGGGCTCACGCCCAAATGCTCGTATTGACAAACCAATTGAGGCATACAAAATCTATTAAACAAGCCTAAATTTGTTTACTAAAAAAAAAAGCCTAAATTTGTCTACGGTGCATACTGACCATAATCTAAACAGTTAGATTGAAATTCACTCATGTTCAGTGGTTGTCTCCATATAAATACCCGAAAATTTTATAATTAAAGGTCTGCATTTCACAACTCCCGAGTAGTTTCTTGAATCTTCTATGTACAAGCTGACTCGAGCTCAAAGGGTTTCGCCGGGACCAAGCTATATTGCCATAACGACTGACTCGAGCTTCAAAGGGTTTACGCCGGGACCCAGGCATATTGCCAAAAAG